GTCTTTACAGACAACAGGAAGTGAAGTTTGACTTCAGATCCTGTGGACCGTCACATTGTGTTATTTTAATATGAACACATTATTCAGTCCTCTCTGCTTTGGCTGTTATTACACAACAATGTTTTTCAAAGGTTTTTAAGAAAAGTACATATTATAATGAAATACATCTTAAAATTTATCAAAAATGCTTTGGCTAAAAATATTTAAAGTTTATTTCTTTTTTATTTTATCGTGATAAAAAATAAAACCATGAGCAGGTCAGATGATCTGAGCTGTTTGTTGTGTGAATCTCTCACAGACAGTTGCTTCACGCTGTGTTTTCCTTCAGGAAAAAAGTTTGATAATTTTCTCTCTGAGAATCATCTTTCACTTTCATCACCTATTTTCCAGTTATTATTTTGCTGAATTTTTGACATAGTTTCATCACATTCTGCATAAATAAAATCTATTTTCTTTCACATGTTTAGATATTTATTTTTAACACGCAGGACACGCTGCTGCACGTTTGATTGACAGCCGCTGCGTCTTTGCCTTATTTCTTCTCTTTCTGCAGAGAAGGCAGAGAGAGAAATGAGGTATTTTCTAATGGTTGTAAACTTCAGCCAATAAAAAACATCTGTTTGTTTCCCTTTCTTTTTTTTTCTTCTTTTTTATGTCTTGTTATAATTTGATCWGTGGAATGCGGACTTTKTTTCAACTTGTGTGACACCGGGACAAGAGTGAGACAGTCCTGCACAGTTTACCTGGGCTGCAGGTAAATTACCTGCTGATTGTAGAGGAGCTGCTTCAGCTGCTCTCCTCCTGTCCGAGCGTGCAGCGCGTTCACTGAGGGACAGTGCAGGAGTGAGCTCTGCGGGCGCGCACGTGTGTGTGGTGAAGGGAGGGTGTGAGGGCAATATTATTATTAATAATATTAATACTGTTGCCGTCATAGTTGTACACTTAATAAGAAGTGCAACCAAGGGTGACAGATGGAGCATAAGAAAAAAAAGGGGGCACTTGATGGTCTGGAGGGAAAAGGGCAGGTGCACCACCTGACGTCTACCTGTGCACGTCCCTGGTTATTGCATAACGTGTTGAAGACTTTTATTACATTTTGCGTCAGTTATTACACAATTCGGTTTTAGCGTGAGTTTATTACATTTTGAAGCCTGATTTTATGACATTATTACAAAATGTGCTGTTCTTACAAAGTGAGGTCTTACACACCTGTATGATGTGGCCCAGGTGGCAGTCAGCAGCCAGCTCCAGGCCCTGCCTCTCGGCCCAGGCTTCGATGGGCGCCAGCCTCCGGCGCACAGCAGAACCCCAGTAGTGGGAGCGTAGGCCCGGAGTGTGGGCCTCCGGGCCTACGAGCTTGTTAAAAAGCCAGACGCTGATGAAATGGAAGAGCTGAGAGAAGAGCTGGATGGTCAGAGCTGGGTTGACCCGACAGCGCCGAAACAAAGACATGGCGTTCATCAATGTGTTCAGCACCATCTCTGTAACCAGACAAGACAAAAAGAAATGGATCAAACTGCAGAACCTCTCAAACTGTTTGTTCTGTAGTTCAGAACTGAATCACACCATTAAAACTGTTTCTTTTCTGCATTTCTTAATAAAATTTAAACTCTGGGTTACTTTGAAAAACAGTTTGGTAATCAAGCTGATAAAATTAAAACAACACAGACCACAGGCTAAAAACCCCATAATGTGAAATTAGCTAACTGTAAGTAAGTAAGTAAAGTTTTATTTATAAAGCGCCTTTCACAGAAATATATTCACAAGGTGCTGTACAATCATTAACAATGTAAAAATGGTGGAAAGAATAAGATGAAACAGAAAAACATAATTAAACATCAGCAACGAAAACTGAAACATGAAATCAAGAAAAATTTTCTAAAATTGTAAATCAAACACAAGGTCAATGCAGGTCAAAATATACAATAACACACAAAACGTAATGAATGTGAGAGAAAATATGGTGTAAGTTTAATAATAAAGAAAACAGATTAGCGAGCATTTACAATGGAGGCTGGCAATAATGGTGAAATGGTTAGCTAAACGAGAGAAAAAGTGAGTTTTTAGGAGTGACTTTAAAGAGACACTGGGCCTCATGTAAGAACATGTTCATATTCTTATCCTAAATTTCTCTTACTTTTGTTCGTACAAAGGGTTCGTACGAACATGTCACGTCAGATTCAACAAACTCTTCTATCT